GAGAGAAAGAGAGAAAGAAAAAAGAGAGAAAGAGAGAAAGAAAAAAGAGAGAAAGAGAGAAAGAAAAAGAGAGAGAGAAAGAAAAAGAGAGAGAGAAGAAAAAGAGAGAGAGAAAGAAAAAGAGAGAGAAAAAGAGAAAGAAAAAAGAGAGAAAGAGAGAAAGAAAAAAGAGAGAAAGAGAGAAAGGAGAAAGAGAGAAAGAAAAAAGAGAGAAAGAGAGAAAGAAAAAAGAGAGAGAGAGAAAGAAAAAAGAGAGAGAGAGAGAAAGAAAAAGAGAGAGAGAAAGAAAAAGAGAGAGAGAAAGAAAAAGAGAGAGAGAAAGAAAAAGAGAGAGAAAAAGAGAAAGTGGTAGAAGGAAAGGAAGAAGTGCACTAAAGGGTAAGATGTAGTGGTAAATCACGAGGATTACTGCAGCAGGCACTTTGGTCAAAGCACGCGTGGAAGAGACTTCGGGCGGGAGTAACAGTTGGGCGTTGCGTAAGTCGCGGGGAGGACGTTGTGCCGCGCGAGACGGGGCAGTCGGTGGGCGCTCTGCGGTGATCGGCGGACGGTCGGTGGCGTGCGGAGGTCGGGGAAAGTGGTAGGATGCGCGGTGGGGCGCGGTCGGATCGGGTAGGGAGTGGGCGGGTGGCGATCAGTGGGCGGTCGGGATCGATGGGTGGTCGGGGGCTGTCGGCGGGAGGCGGTCGCAGTGGTGGTCGGTGGTGGGGGTCGGCCTTTGGGGTAGGAGTGGGAATCCCACCGGATTGGGGATCGAGTGAGTATTGTCGGGATTGGGGTCGACGAGGCCCGGTAAAGGGGCGATCGGAAGCGATTGGGAGTTGGTTCGAGACCCGATTTGTAGGGAGTTTCCGCGTTGTGAATTTTTGGGGTTGGAAGGGAGGAGATCGTGATGCGGTGGTAACACGGGTGACGGAAGTTGGATTAGGATAATTGGCATGGGACGGGACTGATTGGGAGGAAGGGAGAAAGGGCGTGGCGGGTGTTCAAGGAGGGCCTTGGTGGCAGGGTGAGTTGACTTAGATCCAGAATCCCGCACTTTCGATATCGTGTGTGCGAGAGGCTATCTCTGGTCCCTCGGAGGCGACAAATTCCACGACACCCTTCATGGTCTTAATGTCTGCGCCTCCTAGAGATGGACCATCACCAATAATGCTTATTACTAACTAAAATCCCGACACCTCCAAATTAAGAAGCTATATTCATACTGAGGATAAAAATCATAATTTGAGCATATCTGACACTAACGAATATAGTTTTTATTGAAGTGTGAATATGTAACAAGTGCCAATTTGTAAATTTAGTCC